CCCTCCCTCCCTCCCTGCCTCCCTCCTTCCTTCCTTCTTTCCTTCCTTCCTCTCTTTCTTTTTTTCCTTTTTCTTTTTATTTCGGTTTTCTGAGACAGGGCCTCAATATGCAGTGTGGGCTGGCATTGAGCTCACCTTGTAGCCCAGGCTGGTCTTGAACTTGCAATGATCCTCCTTCCTCAGCCTCCCAAGTGCTGGGACTGCAGGTGTGCACTACCATGCCTGGCTTTTTTATTCTTTCTATTCCTATTTTCTTTCTTCCCTTCCCTCTTGTTCTTCTTCTCATTTGAACATTTTCTTCCTACTTCCCAATATAGTTATCATCCATTTTAGTCCATATTTACCCTTTTGATTTCTCACACAAGAGAAACAATGCTATATTCGACCACATGCCTCAGATTTATTCCACTTAAAATATGGTCCGAAGGTGCATCATTTACCTAGAAATGTCTCAAGTTTTTCCTTCTTTATGGCAGAGGAGTAGTCTGTTACATATTAAGACCACTTTGTCTTTATCCATTCATCCAATGATGGACATTCAGCCAATTCCAATATTTAGCTATTACTAATTGTACTGCTATAAATATTGAATGTGCATATGTCACTGTGGCATGATGCTTTTAACTCTGTTGGGAAGATACCTAGAAAGGGGACAGTTGTGTAGAATGGAACTTCTAGTTTTAGTTTTTTGAGGACTCTCTGTACTTATTTCCATATTGGTTGTACCAGTTTACACTCCAAAGCACAAACAACAAATAAATATGCAAAAATATGTTTAACATTACTGGCCTTTTTAGAAGTAAAAATTAAAACAACACTCACTGCAAATGCAAATTTAAGCAACATCTCATTCTAGAAAGAATTAAGAAATCAACCAATAACAAATATCTTCAAAGTTGTGAGGGAAAATGAACCCTTCTCCACTGATATCAGAATCATCTATATAATATTGAGATTCATGGCATTATTATCTTCATTGTCTTTTTCTAGAATGTCCTTCTAAACTTGTTGGTGTCTTGGTTTTGTGGCCATGAGTTACTCCAGGTATTCTTTATCATAGAAGTATCATCAATTATGGAAGATAATTTTGTGGTGTGCATCATGGATTGGAATTTTTTTGTGTGTGATTGAGATACTTCACTTGAAGATCTTGATGTAAGGGTTTGTGTTGAGATGTCTAATATAATTCTGATGGGTTTTCATTAGGTGATCTTTTTTTCTTTTCTCTGACAGTGTTTAATAGTCTGTTCTTATGTTGAATTCCTGGACTCTTGACTATCATGTATATATTAGTGTAGATTTTTTTCTGATCATAGTTAATTGGAGTTCTATATGTCTCATGTACCTGTCTTCCCAATTCTTTTTTCATGCTTGGGAAGTTTTCTGCCATTACTTCAGGAAAAAAATTTATGTCCTTTGTGCTAACTTGATTTTCCATTCATTCTGATTAATCTTATGGTATTCTTCTTTGCACCACCTGCAGCTGTTGGATTGATTTTTCATGTTCTCTCACTGTTTTTAAGAAGTCATTTTGTTGGGAATCACTACCTGCAAGCCTGTCTTCTAGATCTGATCTAACTTCACGTTGGTCAATTCTGCTGCAATTTTTGCTGCATATATTTTTGATAGAATTTTTAACCTATTGTATATCTGTATAAATCTGATTTATGGAATCCAAGTATTTCCTATGATGGGCATTCATAGTTTTCTTCATTTTTCTAAGCTCCTCTATTTTTTGAAAAATCTGTATCTACTCTAGATTCTCAACATGTCCTTCATTGCGATTATCATTTCTTCAGTTATCTGTGTAATTACTTCTGTTTTGTTTTTTCCTAAAAACACATTCACCTGCTTTCTTACTTCTGCTGCTATCATTTTACAAAGTTTAGCTGGATAGCTTTGCATGTCATCTACATCAATGGTCTCTGGATTTGCCTTGGGTGACCTGGAGGTCTCTGGGTGCATCTTGCTTCTGTATTTTCTCATTTTTTATTTTTTAAAAATTTATTTTCTGCATTGATGCTTTTAGATTGCTTATGGTAAGTAGCTTTACTACTTATATTGAGACCTCTTTAGGAAATGACTACTTTTCAGAGATGTCTCTTCTAGGTATAGCTGGATTTGGTCTTTTAAGAGTGCTCTAATCTCGTGCCTTTTCAATTTATTAGGGGTGAGAGGTGGTGGCCTGTTTGGTCCAGCACCAGTTCCTTGGTATTGGACTTATGGTATTGTTTATGATCCCCAGACATTCTCTGTATTGGCATCCAAGGAAGAACAACTGACAAAGGCAGGTGTGTCACCCTGGCTAAGTTAATGTGATGTAACAGCAGTAGCATGGAGCATGGTACAGAATGAGAAACTATGATAACTCAGTTTGTCACCTTTAACCTTAGATGCAAGATATAGTTATATAACAAATTCTTTTAAAAAAAATCACAAAATTTTATGCAGTAAATACTCACTCAGTAAGCAATTTTAACCTCTGGGGGAAAACTTAAAAGGGATAAGAGGATCAAATAGAGAAATAGGAGAAAGCAACTGGAAGCAGAGCTGAAAGACAAAAGAAGATTACCTAAGCTTAGGGAAATGGATGGAGAAGAGGGAAAGAATGAAGGAAAAACTAAGAACAAGAACGGAGCAAAACAAACCTAAAAACAGGTTTTCATGTTCACACTCATGAAAAGACTAAGACAAGAAAAAGCAAATGAATAAGAAAAAAATAATCAAAAACAGAGGAAATGAAAACAGAATTTAAAAAGAGAGAGAAAGATATCTCTGTGATTTCAAGCCTGTTGTTATCTCTTGAGGCTTATAGCTTTGTGGTGATGTCCAATTCCAGCTCATGACTCTGCTGTCACTGTAGACAAAGGAGACAGATGGAGCCCAGATCAGTGCTGGCTGATCCCAGAAAACCCGCAATAGGGTTAGGGTGGGACACCAATTCGTGTCCCTTCAACTGCACAGAAGTTAAGGCCAGTCCTGGCCTCTGGTTGTGGGTTTGGGGCCTGAGTCATTCGACCTACAACACTCTGAGTGTCTCTCACTGACCTGACCTTGGACATCTCTCACAGTTGTCCTCCCAGTTGCTGTGGAATTTCAACACTAGATGCCCTGAGATGAAGCAAACCCACAGCTGCTCTGAGTCCAGGTTCAGTTGGCGCCTCCCCTAACATGGTGCCCAGCCAAGCCTGTCTCCAGGGGCATGGCAGTCACTTTGACCGGAGTCTCTCCAGCTCTTGCAGTGTGCAGCATCCATTGCTCTGTTGCACTGGGGTGTTTCTTCCAGGAGGCCTCTGGGGTTACCTGCCCTTGTATGTCTATAAAATCAATGTTCTTCTATTTACTTTCTCTCTGAGCTCCAATTTTCTATTCAGATCTTTCCTGGGTCCTGGGGATCTAGCTCTTTCCTTCTCTTCTTTCCCAAGTTGTTACTTTCCATTGTCTGGATTCCAAGTCTTGGAGACATTGCTTGCTGCTGCTTACTACTCTGCCATCTTCCCAGAAGTTCTTCTCCTTCTTTATTTAAAATTTAACCAACCATTGCTTATTCACAGGTGTTCTCCATTCTTTTGAAAAATCTACTTTAGAAAATAAATTATTTAGCTGAGTTTGGCAGCATAAGACTGTAATCCCAGAACTTGGGAGGCAGAGACAGGCAAATTGTCGTGAGTTTGAGGCCAGCCTGGGCTACCTAGTGAGTTCAAGTTCAGCCTGAACTGCATAGCAAGACTGTAATCTCAAAAACCTAAAACAAACAAAGAAAGAAGATTCCAGACTATTTAGTTCTTATTTATGATCTTCATTGTATCATCATAAATGGTCTTGTAAAACACAATATTAACTTCAGAATGGTATGGATCTTTTCTCATTTTTCTTGCTAATACATCTTAAGAGTCTAGAAAAAATTTTAGTTCAAGGTAGGCACTCTACAAATGCTTTCTGATAAACTGGATAAAATGCAGAATAGGTAGGAATTGAAAATTACTATGGTAGCGGAATTAAGGACATAATGCAATTCAGCAGCTATAGACCTACAGCACTACAGGAGCACCACACCATTACAGTCTATAGAAAGAATAGGTCATAAGGGAAGACAGGTGCTGGATCTTCCTGTGCAGGTGTCCAATATACTGCTGTATTCAACATGTACTTCTGTTTTTTGGGATGAAGATCTGGGATAGAAGGAGAAGCT